TTCTTTGACGTTAAAACCTCCAGCTTCTAAAGGCTAGAGTGGTATGCAGAACACCTTTCATATGCCGTAGCTAAGATCACTTTCCACCTCTGGGATCCCTCATTTTCTCAAGATGCTGTGCTCCTTTGTGTGTGGCCTCATCAGCCAATTAATAGTACTTATACATGTTTGTGCAATTACATTACACAGCTCCTGAGATTTCTGGTGGCATTTCTGCAAGTCACGGGTTTGGAACTTACGGCAAACATTTCGTAAGCTGACGTAAGAAGTCCTGGAGAATACACTAACTTCTGTAAACTGAACACGCTCTCTGGAACTCCAGCTATGTTGCAGAAGTTAAATTGTGTGTTTAACTATATGAGGAAATCAGTGAAGTGATGTGTGAAGTAAATATAAAGGTTATGAGTAACTCCTTTATCTACATATGTTCCAGTGTGTACTGGAGGCTGAAGACATTTAACCGCTCCCTTCAATGTCATCCCTGTTACTTGATATTACTTCCTGTTGCTTGAATCTCTCACAAAAAAGCTGCCAATTTTTAGGAGATATTTACGTAATGAAGAGTAGCCTTAGATATGAGGTTGATCTGTCATGTTTGGTTTTGTGGAATCTTCTAAGGTTAGATCTGTGGCTTTTTGTTACAGTGCATTCATTGTTTTCATGCACAATGCGTCTTAGTGAGCAAACTGTATTAAAGAGATGTTATGCATCCTAGGTACAAGAAATTGACTGCATCATAAGGATGATAGAAAAATTGGACTGAAGAAGATGTAATTCGCTTTTGGACGTTAGCACTCTTTCTCTAGCACTAAGTAAATTTGACTGCAACAAGGAATGAGCTGAAGAAATTAGAAGTGTTTGTAGGTGGTTGGAGAGGGACGAAGTTAGGTAACTATTTAATAGTTTCCCCTGCATGTGAACAGAGGATTTCAGTATCTGTTGCCGGTGATAGGTTTGGGATTTTCTTCCTTGAAAGTACTAATTTTTAAAAGACTATTTACTGATGCAATACTGATTTTCATGGAGCCTCCAGTAACTCATGAATTGTCTTCAATATAGTACACACATTTTTAGAAGAAGGCAGAATATAATTAACATTTGAATAAATTGGTCTGTAGTTTCTTCTTTGGCATATGTTATGTTTATTTTCTAGTATCTCTCCTAGAAGCAAATGCATTTTGGATTTCCATTTTTGGGCATTTACTTTTTTCCAGTTGCTAATTCAATATACTCATACAATTTTTCAGAGTGACAGATCTGGTCGGGAAAAGGACCTGTAGTTTTAAACACTCTGTGGTTTAGTATTTCTGACCTACAGGAAGTATGTGGCAGGAAGACTGCCTGCATGCCTGCAGTACATTTCTTCTTCAACAGGCAAGCTCCCATCTGCAAGTAGTTGGTCTCTCTGGTAGAATGCTGTGGCTCACAAGCTCATCTTGAACTTAGAGGAGCAGTGGAGCTCACCTGTACCAAGGAGCTGAACCTACAGCTGGCTTGACCAGCTACAGCTGGGAGACCAAAGGGACTGCCTTGAGACAGGGGTCACAGTCAAAAACCTGTGGAAAATCTGTTTTTGTAGTAGAACTATAAAATAAGGCACATCAATAGTACTTCACCTGAAGGGAAGTCAGAAACTAGTATCCTCGGAATAGGAAATGTTATTTCAGGAGCAGTGTATTTTGGGGAGATATAGATAGATAGATAGATAGATAGATAGATAGATATGACCTATTTAATTAAACTTTAGTTTTGTTGTTTTGAAGGGTTGTTTATTTCCCAGCATGGTAATTCTTAATCTTTGATCCAGCTGAAGTGGTGTGTTAAAATGCAGTGATTTCTTTTTCTTGTAGATGGCTGTGGAATTTCTACATGAACTGGATGTTCCATTTTTCAAAGTGGGATCAGGAGATACAAACAATTTTCCGTATTTGGAAAAGACTGCAAAGAAAGGTAAGCATTTTCTTTTGAGCTGTCTTGGTAAACATCACTGTGACTCAGTAGATCAGTTACTAGATCTTTCCTCCAACTGATTTTGGAAAAAAATCCGAAGTATCTTTAGAAGAAAATCACCCTCAGACTTGGGGAAGAAAAAGTTCACCCAGCTTTCTTTTCTAGTTTAACTGAATTAATTTACTTCCAGAATTTAATTTAATATTGTGTAGCTTTCTTACAGACCTAGGACAATGCATGTTTTGTAATGGCTAGGTCGCCCAATGGTGATTTCCAGCGGAATGCAGTCGATGAACACAATGCATCAGGTTTATCAGATTGTGAAGCCCATCAATCCAAACTTCTGCTTCCTGCAGTGCACCAGTGCATACCCGCTTCAGCCAGAGGATGTCAATCTCCGTGTTATATCGGTCAGTGAGTAATGCAGAATGTGCCATGGGTAGGGTATCAGAGAAAGGCTATGCACTTCTATTGAGACAAGTTTCCCGACCTTAGGTATGCTGGAATTTGCTTCTGAGAAGTTAGATGTATCATGTTCCTCTAATTCATGCAAGTGTTGAAGTAAAAATATCCACTGGATCCTCTTTTAGCAGAACTCAGCTTTGAGGAATATGATAAAGGCTATCAGTGGAGTATTCATAATTAAAGAGAAGAAAATGTGACATATGGTTAACAGGTTAACTTTGTGCTTTGTAGTGCAAAGAAAAATTATGTAGACTTTTACCATTAAGAAGGTGCATGGAATTGAGAACATAATTCTAAATAGCGGGCTAGAGCAGAAACTTTTGTTAAAAACACTTCATGTGAATATCAGAGCAATGAAGAAAATGGATTAGGCCCTCGTATTGTTCCCTTCACTGACAATATTACTTGGATATGCGTAATAATGATGCAAGAAAATTTTCCCAAATTGGCCAGTGTTCAGGCACTTGCCTAGCTTTGTGCACAAGTAGCACGTTGTTTTCAGTGGAACACGACATGGCTGCATTTAATTGCATTTTGGATTGGTTGACTGTCCCCTATGTATGGCTGAAAGGATCACTTCAGCTTTAAAATACAGGGTTGAAGAAATTTGCTTTGGATACAGGTGAAGTTTAACCAGTCCACTGGGTTCTGGATGAAAACAGAGCACTACTCTAGTGCTGTAACTTAGTGACGTAGGCTTTGAAGACCTTGAAGAGTACAACTGAGTTAAAAGGAAAAGCATAAAAGAAGTTGCAGAATAGAACATACCTTCTTTTCCTTGTCAGTATTGATAATCCTAGTGAAATTCTTAAAACATGATGGTCAGCAATGTAGTGTGACTTGCTGAATATAAACAAATGCATTCTCAGCATAACCAGCTTTTTGTTTTGTGGTACAGTAATGTCCATGTTTTTTATTGCAGTTATTACTGTTAAATTTGCTTTGTCTTTGAAATTGCTACCTGGGTAATTCAGACCAACTCTGTCATGATTCAAGGCATATCAGTCAGCTTTTCCTGATATCCCCATTGGCTACTCGGGGCATGAAACCGGCATAGCCATTTCAGTGGCAGCTGTTGCTATGGGTGCTAAAGTAGTGGAACGCCATGTGACTCTCAACAAAACATGGAAGGGAAGTGACCACCAAGCATCCCTGGAACCAAATGAACTGGCAGAGTTAGTGAAAGCCATCCGTACTGTGGAAAAAGCAATGGGTTCTCCAGTCAAACAACTCTTGCCCTGTGAAATGGCTTGCAATGAAAAGGTAACTTTTGCTTTTGATTCATGGATAGCTGAAACTCATTTACACCTATAGCTAATAACTATATTCAGAAAATTAGCTTGCTAATTGTTTATTGCAGCAGTGTTTCTGCCTCTGCACTCAAAAAGTTCTGTTGCCAAGTAGTAGCGTGCTCAGTGTTTATGCCTGGCCCATTATAATGTTAGTGTGGGCCTGCCATTTTCTATAAACTGCTATTTCTGGCAGTCAGTAACTGTTTTTACCAAAGCATAATGTTGGCAGTTTTGAGTGTAATGGAGTTGTATGTGTATCATTCCAGTGGTTAAGTAAGTTGAGTAGAATCACGAATCATTTAGGTAGGAAAAGACACTTAAGATCGAGTCCAACTGTTAACCTAACACTGCCAAGTCCACTAGTAAATCATGTCCCTAAGCACCACATCTACACATAATATACCTCCAGGGATGGTGACTTCAGCACTTTGTTCCAGTGCTGGACACCCCTTTTGGTGAAGAACCCTTTCCTGACACAACTTGAGGCCGTTTCGTCTCATCCTATCACTTGTTACTTGGGAACACATAATGACACCCACCTCGCTACAGCCTACTCTCAGGTAGTTGTAGAGAGTGCTAAGGTCTCCCCTCAGCCTCCTCTGGGCTAAACAACCCCAGTTCCCTCAGCTGCTCCTCAAAGGACTTGTTCTCTAGACCCTTCACCAGCTTCACTGCTGTTCTTTGGACACGCTCCAGCAACTCAGTGTCATGTAGTGAGGGGCCCAAAACTGAACACAGTATCTGAGGTGCGGCCTCACCAGTGCCGAGTACAAAGTACTCAGTAGTGGTAATAGGAGTAATAGGTCTCTATGACTGTACATGAGCTGCTTTTACAGTAAGCTAGAATACTACTCAGTCTAGTCAGATTCCCTCCATTCTCATTCTGAAAAACTCCAGTGAGCCATTACCCGATTTCAGAAAGAATCTGGATATTCCAGCAGCCTAGTTATAGTGAAGGTTTCCATGCTAACTCGACCTCCGTTTGGAGTAAGAAGTAATGGAGAGGGCAGTTCCATACAACCTGTTCCCAAGTAGCTGCAGAACATTTTTTAGCCTTTTTTGGTATACTAAGTCTGGGAATGTTTTTGATTTAAACTTTTTTCTTCTTATTTCTCCCCTGTAGCTGGGAAAGTCTGTTGTGGCAAAAGTGGCAATTCCTGAAGGTGCAGTACTGACGCTTGATATGCTGACAGTGAAGGTGGGAGAGCCTAAGGGATTTCCCCCAGAAGCCATCTTTGATCTAGTGGGCCAGAAGGTTAGAAAAAATATTGAAGAAGATGAAACCATCACTGAGCAAGCAGTTGAAAATCACGTAAAAAAAGTGAAGTGCTAAACCAAAGTACTCCATTCCGTATTTCATGATGTAGTACTGCACTACTGCACCACATATTTAACTATAGCAGCATGGTAGATTAGAAGAAAGGGGTCTAATTCTGAGGATCCAAGCAGGTCAGAATTTTCAGGATCTCATTAGCAGGAAGCTTCTGTAGCAAGTGCATATAAATGATGAAGAGAAATTTTATTAGAAACTGTATAGCATTGTGTCTAGAAAATTACCATGTTCCTCCTTTCTCCATTCCACTTAGATTAATTTGGAGTTTTGCCAAATGTAAGACCACCATCTGCTGCTTTCCAGCTTCCCACTAAATCACAGTAATTTTGTCTACACATTGAATTGTTCTAACCCTGTATCTTTTGATGTTGCTCTCTTTTCTGACATTTTCCTTGCCCTTGTGATAACAGGATGCTAGTTGGAGTTGCATGCATGTAAGTGAAAGTTTACATACACTGAACAGAAAACTACACATGCAGCTGATGGGTTTTTCTCAAGATTAAAGCCTGAAGATAAAAAGTCTCAAGATAAAGTAGTGGGTTACAGGAATCTGCACGCTGGGGAAAATGAACTCCTTGAGAAAGCTAGGTTCTCAAGACAGTACCAAGAAAGGAAGCAAACTGAATATATAGAAAGGTCCCATTTAATGGGCAAAAGAAGGAGCCTTTTTGTACTTTTTGGAACTGAAAGGCAAGAGGGCAAGCCAGACAGATTAAGGGGGGGGGAGTAGATCTGAGACGGATCAGTGGAAATAAATGTAACCTATGCTTCAAAAAAATGTCAAAAGCATCTGTTCTGAGCTGAGTGAAGCCTGGAATCATAAATCAGTTATGCAGTGCATTTGGATACCTCTGTACCTGAGGGCAGCTTCTCAGGTAAGGAGCAAATGCTGGTGAAGATTCAGCAGCTTCCTTCTTGTGCTAACAAGCAAATACATTGGGTTGGGGTTTTCCCACCCCCCTGCCCCAACACTAGTGTTAGAGACAGCTGAGGCTGGCTGCTTGATTAGATCATGTCACTGTGCTTCAGCATGATGGTCAGTGCTCCTCTTGTGTGCTCTACTTTTGCATCATAGCTTGTCACTTTTCAAGTAAGAAACGTAATCCCACTCCTGTCAGCCTGCTGCTCTTCCCTTTGACCGCATGGCAGCAGCTGCAAACCAGGCATCCCTCAGTTAGCATGGTTAGCACAGAAGTGCATTGGTGTAATTCGTATGCAGTTTTCTGTGGTGGAATCATTTACTAGTGATGGTTATTTGGAACTTGCTACCTCTTGGTCATGAATTGGTGAATTATCTTGAATTTGGTGGTGGTGATTCTGTACTTGTGAGCTGTTTACTTTCAAAATGTTTACTCTTCTGCTGTCTGAGGAAGCTAACTGTATCTCTAAACTGGGAAGCAGAAATTCTCTGAATCACGTGCTTGACCAGATGTGAGCGCTGACTGATGTAGTAAGTTTGCCTTACATTAAAAATAAATACTCAATTGTTAAAAGATTTTTTTTTAAAAAAAGATCAAATCTGAAAAATAAATTTAGCTTATAAAACATGCTATTGTTTCTGTGTTTCAGCCTGTGTTCAGACCTTGCCTTTCCTAGCACTGGTGATGATTGCAGGGGCTTAAGTATCTGAACACCGTAAGATTACCTGACCTACTTCAAGTAGCAGTGGTTCTTCACTCTAGCAGGGTTAGCCCTAGAGGCTGCTGTAAATGTAGGCTCCAGAAGTTTCCAGGACTTTAATTAAAGCATTGGGGAAAAACATAATTATCCCTATACAGAAACAGCCTTTGCAAACAGGACACAAAAATAAGTTAAGCACAAGTGCCCCACTGAGCTAGTGTTTTTATTGCACCTGTGGGTCCTACAGGCATTTCGTGTTCTGCTGGAGGAGGTACCCAACTGTTTCTCATGCTTCCACTCTGCTGGGGAAAGAATAAGGCCACCCAGAAGCCTGTCACAAGTAAGACCAGCTAATGGCTACGAAGCGTGGCTACAGAAGCACCTACTTCAGCTTTACTCGAAGGAACCTTTCCAACAGTCTGTGCCATTTTTCCAAGATGATACTTAAGTGTGAACTCATTCACTTAGTGCATTTATTATCCAAATCTGACCTTGTCAACTATAACAATATGCAACTCATGAACTTTAAATTTGAATCAAACTAAACCTATTACCACACACAGTTGCAGCCTCCCCAGGCAGATGGAGGGAGGGAGTTCGTTAAAAAAGATGGCAATATCCAGGTGCAAAGCTGAGTTGTAATATTGTTCTTTCTTCCAGACTTTTTCTGTTTTTGAAGTTGGAAAAAGTACAAAAAATACTACATATGGCATTTTAAGTAGTACATCGACGTCATTTATAAAAGCCAGATCACCTTCCATTAAAAAATGCAAATACATTAAAAATTAGTTGAACAAATTCTTGAACTTAACTATTACCTTCTAAAAGCATCACAGTTACAACTTTTTATGTGACAGAGATTAACTCATGTAGATCATTGCTAAAGTGGCTTTCATAGAAAAAGTAAATGAAATAGTAGGCTTTCTTTTGTTTTATTCCTTATGTTAGTTTGCATATCCCAATGGACCCTTCCCAGAGCCTCAAGGCTGGGTAAATGGGTTCTGTGAAATTGCAGCGGAAGGTGTGTAGATGAGCCATGCCATCAGTAACGCTGTAGAATGAAAGAATTCCTGCTTCATAATCCAGAAGAAGCCAATGCGATCAGGATCATCTTCTATCAGGATGGGGATTCTCTCCCCCTTGTGAAACGCCCAGTATTCAAAATCAAACTTTTTCAGGCACCAAGATGCTCTATTCCAGCTCAGTCAGCAGGTTTCAGAATCTCCTTTCCTGCTAATGGAAGGGTAGGCTGCACCAATCCACCATCCTGCTCCAGCATGAAGTAGGTCAGCTTCCCAGTAATGGCTCCCAGAGGAAAATGCATCTCTGCTTAGCACTTGCCACAATTTATCGAATCTCTGGGGTCCACAAGGGTAAAATAGCCTTCTCCAGTTACAGCTTACTACAAGGCGGTCATCAGACAATTTCAGCCTTGGGTGAAGGCTGTCATATTCCCAGGTTGGTGATCTTGCATCTGCAGTCAAAACCATAAACATACTTACTACATTTATCATGACTCCTGAAAGAAGTCCAAGTTGTAAAAGACCTGCAAAGGAGCCCACAGCTGGTAGTGTCTTGGAAACTGCAGTTTTGCAAGGAAAAACCTGACATTTTTAACAGAATGCACTGCACTATTTATATGCACTGATGCTTTACAGTTGCATAGGCTTTAAAGCAGGTCGGTAAAAGACAAATATGCAAGTCGATGTATCCATGGTTCACAAATGAGAAGATGAATACAGCTAGGTAGGGACCAAACACTGAGAGCTTCTGCTTTATGTGGAATAGCTGGAGACTTCTGGTGGGATTACAGCCTAAGGGTTTTAGAGAGCACTGGAGCGGACTCTTGAGTTGCAAGATCCCATTCCACTGAAATCGCATTTGAAGATGGACTAGGAGCCTGTTACTCATAGAGGCACCACAGCTCTGAGCAGCAGCGTGTACACTGCAAAGGAAAAACTTCCCAGCTCCCAGAGGTTTTATAGCAGTTCACCTAATCTGACATTTAGAAAAGAAAAATCACAGTCTGAAATTACACCCTAGAAATCACTGTCTTATTCAGCAGCAGCTTAGAATATTTTTACCATGAAGCAGCTGTTGCAGGACTGGAAATCACGAAGCCAGGGACCAAAAAAAAAAACTGTAATCAAATTAAACATGTTTGCAGCGACACAATCATGCAGGACAAGTCAAACAGCTACAGGATTTTTCAGATGAGGCTTTTCTCTGAAGACACTGTCCTACAAGTTCAGTACTGATTTGCTGCATGTCTCACAAAAGTTTTCATAATGTACTCTACCTCAATGATTTACTGTGTTAGCATGTGTTTTTCTGATTTCATGTTCTAGAAATAATCAAGCTACTCCCTCTGAAAACAGGATCCGTCATTCTTAAACAATCCCCTTCACTCTTTCTGTCAAGCCTGATAGAACCAGTGTTGGGATACCTAAAAACACACACCGTCACGAATTACAGTCTCTAGAGTACTGGTGATAAGATGTAAACTTAACTTGTATCTTAAAACTATTCCAAGTAATGAGCATATCTATTTTTTTCTTGTAGGTAAAGAAAACAAAGTATAACAATACATCCAGACGAGAACTGAACAGCCGTATACTTGCAATGAAAACTGGCTGAGTCATATTTCACTCAGTTCATAGCTGGTTTTTTTTGACCAAATATGATTTTAATCTTAGTCTAGATAAACTTTGAAGCTTAGATGTTTTAAATGCCAGATGACAAATAGATTTAATATCCTGAAGCTTCTTTTCAGAGTGAGTAAATTCCTTTTTAAATTAAAGTCAGAGAAACAAGTGTTCATAATCTCATAAAATCCAGACTGCTTTGATTTCTCTGCAGTGTTGCGCATCTGAACTATATTTGGACCTGTGATCTCACATAGTCTTTTACTATGCTTTACAGGCAGCATAGTGTTAAACGAACACAAAACAGGGCAATAGACCCACTCAAACAAGAACTTCAGTATTTTCCTCACTCTGCTGTTTTGAATGTGGAAATGTAAGATAATTATACAGCAGGTTACTATATGAGAGAGGATTAATTTGTCACTCACTTGACTTTGTTGCTATTTCCTGTGTTCTTGCACAGAACCCTCTCCCATAAATTAAATGTCTAACCTGCGCTAGCTGGCATATTCCATACTCTAAAGCCCAGAAGCTGCATGCATTCAGGCTGGAATCCTCCCGTCTGCCATCAGAGCAATGCATAAACCACTTGACTCCATTCTCTGTTGGTCCTCTGTTGCTCTCCCATAATTTCCTGCCGTGAGCAGAGAAGGCTGAGTAAGGTCTCCTACAATTTGCTGTGAAAGACCACCAGCACTGTGGCCTATTACAATGCCCACAAGAGAGAACAGACATCTCGCATGAAGTTAGGGTCCACACAGTTAATTGGAACAAAGACTCAAGTTCTGTAGTTGCTGTAATGTTTCAGAAAAGAAAGTAGTACACACAACTGTAAGATACAGCTGGACCCCACACCTCTTCCTTGCCTTGCTGAGGCCCCTAACATCAGCTATGTTTAAAACACAGGAACCAGTGATGCACCATTATCATTTTTTTATACACAGAGCCTAAGAGATCACCTTCATCTAGGTAGGATCAGTGCGCACACCTGGGTACCAGAAATGAAGCTATTGCTTCATTTGAGGCAAAGACGTGGAAACAGTTGCTGAAATGCATGTCATGGTGCTATAGAGCCCACTGCTGATATTCTGCCCCCTGCAATCTGCACCTGTATACTGCAATAAAACAGAGAAGCAAATAGCCATGAGTCGTAACTGAAGCATCACCATTCTCTGAACAAAAAGAAAGCCTTTACGATTTTAATTTGGATATTGTGTCTGTAAACAATGTTAAAACTTCCAAAAGCATAGCACTACAAGTACATCTCACACATGCAACATCTTACTGTTGTGATCTCCACTACACTTTTCATTAGAAAAGCTAGTATTGACATTCATGTGGTCTGAATAGGTCCCAAGTCACATCTGTATGCGCAGTGGTGACAAAAGGCAGGAAACAGGAATTATTCATGCAGCACCCTACAGGATTCTCTCTTCTGAATGACTGACTCTGTGAGTGAGTGTTCCATGTCACTTCCAGCAGGTGAACAATGGGGATGCTACCTTTGTATAGAACACAGGTGACACTGAGACCAAAAGATAGGTACAGTAGTAAGGATTTAAAAGGCCAGGCTTCAATGTCTGGTTTTTCCAGTAAAAAAAAATAACCTGTGCAAATAGCAAATAAGTAGTGATGTCCGTCAGTCAAATTTACCTGAAAACCTAGATTTTCATAAAATGCATAACTACTAAATCTCAGGCAAATGGAAATACCTCCATTGCTTTAAAACAAAGGATAAAAACCCAAGGACTGAACTGCATGTAGATGCTAATGTTTGGAAGCATAAATGTGAATTTGACTAGAAAAATAATACAAAATAGCTTGAGCTGTTCAGATTATTGGAGGACTGCAATTCTTCCACTTTTCCTAAGTGATGGAAATTTTAAGTGACTTTAAGTCGAAATATTTATGACCAAGGTTTGTCAGTTTCACTGGCCTAGGAACACCCGAACATCTTTCTCAGTGAGTCGGGTTGTTACATGTAGCTTTAACAGAGTTAAGAAAAGGTCTTTTCAGCCCTTAAAGTGGCTGCTCACACATGAAGCAAACACAGTGCTTTCTCCATGAACCCATCAAGAGGCAGCCTGAAGTGGGTAAGATTGGCATTGATGGAACTCAGGAGCCCGATTCACTGACCGCCAAACGCTGCTTCAGTGCTCTGCTAGTAGCAAGTGCTCAGCGAGGTGGGACTGGCTGCCCTAGCACCTTAACTGGTTCCGGTTACGAAGTGACGGACTCAGTCTGGATCCTGCAGTACAGAAATGACCCAAGTGGGAAAAGACCCATCACATCACAGCCAAGTAGGCAGACTACTCTGCATTCCTGATTTCTTAACACCTGCTGCATTTACAAGCGCAACACCTGTTTGCTCACCTCCAGTTGAGATAACCTGTTTGCAAAGAAAAGGTTGCGGTGTTTGGAATTAGAAGCTCACTCGAGAAAGCACAGAAACAGGACACGTTAACAATGCTGAAAAATATGCCTCTCAGAACACATCAACCCATAGATGCAGGGACAGCATGTAACCCACTCTGCTGGCACAGTACTGGCCCTTGCCCTCCTTCATGAATAACAGCCAGAGGTCAACTGTCCATTGGCCACCATCATGGCCTCCACTGGGCTGGATCCAGGCTACAAGACAGATCTTCTCCTACAACAGGCCTTTGCTACCAGGTACCATGATAACAGGAATGTTACGGCTTTGAGATTAAATACAGCTACAGCCCTCATCTGCTGCAGGTGACAAGAAATGCCCATTAGCTTCCCACCAGACAGATGGAACAATTCACTGTACAGCTTGCATACGAACAGCAGAGGAAAGGAACACCTGTAGACTGACATTACATGATGGACATATAATTAAAGAAGACCACAATCACTTAGACAATAGAAAAGTCTCCAAAAACTACATTAGCCACTAGCTGATTCACACACTGGCAGTTCTGAATGAAAACAAAGTATCAAGATTTCACAGACAGAAAGTAAAATTTCTTCCCCAACCTGAGGTACGGGGAAGGGTAACGACTTTCAGGCAGCACTGAGCACTTGTTCCTCCCAACTGCTGTAAACACCAGAACCTTTTTGAGATACCGTTCTAAGGTCATGGCAGTACACATTCACTGACTCTTTCAGTGACTGAGCCATAAGTGTTCAGAGTGCTCCTACCTTTTGTTCAACCATACTTACGTTTTAAGAAAAGCATCCGATCAATAGGAGACATGGTTTTCAACACTGTTCCAGGCTCCTTCTTTGCAGTGGCACTAAGGCTACCGGAAACATCTGGGTAGAGATGAAAAGGGACAGTTTAGGAAGCCTGCCAGTGGAAGAAAGTGGCTGTACTGTCAAGATTTTAAAAATAAAATATCACAGGCAATTTTGCTGGACAGGGTATTTGGGTTTTGCCTCTTTGGTGTGAATTCCACCCATGTCCTGGGAAAGGTCGCACTGTCACACTCCATGTTTCAGTTTCATGGGACAAACTGTGTTACTTTTGCTGGGGAAGGGTGACTCACTCTGTATGCTTTCAACCTTGTGTTCTTTGGATAGCATGGAGATACTGGATCCCAGTGTTGCCAAGGAATTACACAAACAAGCACCACCCCAAGTAACCACCTCCCACTCCTCAAAAAGCACCCCTCTATCAGACGAGCACAAAGACAGCTGAAGACAACTGCAGATGCTAACTACAGAGCACGTGCATTGTACTGTCTAGCAATTCACACATTCTGTAGTGGCCTTTCAGTTCTGATCTGACCGTTTTCCCCAGCACCCTGCTACACTGTTCCTGGTGGCAGCTCTCAGAAAAGGGATTATTAAAAGGTAGCTGGGTGAAATGTGATGGCTGGTGTTGTCCTGCTCAACAAGCGGCAGAGTTTCTCCATGGTTACTTGGCTTTGTGGCTCTGCATCCCATTAGGAAACTCCTTGCCTTAATCATGGCAAAGGTCACTTAAGGATGAAGACAAAAGAAGCTCTAAGCAGAACATCTTAACCCACCTTTACAGCACCAAAACCCAGAGAATTTTCAGACTGCCTGAGACAGAAAGATCATCAGGTACATCAACTAGAAAAATCTTTCAAATTTTACAGGTACCCAATGTTCCATGCCTGCCAGATGTCCTGCCAGAGCACTGGCACCCAACAGTGACTGAAAGAACAGCTACCTTGTGTAGGTGTGATGGTTTAGGGATATAAGCAAGATAAACTCTGCAGAAAGAAGTAAACTGTATTGAAATAACTGATAGAGCTGGAAAAAAGCATCAGACAAACTTTCAGGCACAAAAGGCCATCTTCAGAGTTGAAAGAGAAACCTCTTATGTTCCTATACCACCACTAATATAGCAACATTACATCAATGCTGTCAGAGAACAGTACCTATGTCTGAAAAGCTGCTGTTTTCTCCAGCTGATTTGGTAAAAAGTTCTGCTTTTACTTACTTTATTTAAAAGGAAAGCAGAAGAAAGCAAAATTCACAGCACTCTCCCAGGTACTTTCTTTAAGACGGGCTTCTAGTGGTTTCTGTTGAACAGACTGAAGAACTGTCACAAAGTGCTTATAATGGTTAAGTACGTGCTCAAACGAGAGAGGCATTGGATGCCACTTCTAAAAACTGCCTGAGCTCCTGCATTTCCTTCTCGACTTCGGTGTACTTCTGAGGGCAGAAAGCCAAATTCTCCCACTAGTAGAGACAGTGACATCAATGGACTCTTCCCTCCCAGCTCCCACACACTACAGAGCAAGGACAGCTCCATCACTAGCTAAAAGATACAGGCCATAACAGGCAAGCCTTGCTGTGTTCAACCTGCCTGTTAGCTCATTAGCCTACCCATTAGCTCCTTCTGCCAGTGGAGCCAGGAGCTACCCCAGAGATAGAGAACACAGCAGTCATGGTTAAAATAGGGCCCTCCAGGACACTCCAAGATGGGAATGAGTTTAACCTGGCTAGGATCCTTTGTGGGAAATCCAAACAATGGGAAAATGAAACCACTAAGTTTTAAAAGAAATCTAAAGAATAAAGTCCAGCCTCCCCCACTAAAAAATCTCTCCGAAACCATGAAAAGCAGCTTCCCATATGGAGGTAGGTTGCTAGCACACACAGCAGAATGCCAGGGCCATATCACTCACAACAATGCAAACTTTCAAGTCTGCTAAGTTGCAAGGATGGAAAAATGCACCACAGGCCTTCCCATGAAGAATGGCATCCTTCCACTTGTACCGGGGCATAAGCATATGGCAACACACCCTTCCCAAGGAAGGTGATGAAGATCATTAGGAAAAAGAGGCTGACATTTATCTGCAGGGAAAAAGAAAACACTTCCCCTTCCAGCAAAATGATGGTTATTGCTCAGAGTAATTAGGATCTCCTGCGGTTAAAGAAATGAGAAAATTTAGCGTTCCTCCTATGGTTCCCAAAAGAGCTGCCTTTCCTCAGACCTCCATATTACTCTGCACAAGAAAAGACCTGATAACAGCATTTGTGTTCATCATTAAGAGACACATTTAACTCTGCTCCATATATGCTTAAAATTAACATGAATTTCATACAGACCTGAAATCAACGCCACAGCAGGAACATTTAACAGCTCAAAGATCACCAAAATACCAACAAAAAATAAGATTAAAAAGCAGTGAGAAAGATGCTGCTTACATACAGAAGTATCTACAGAGATCACTAGAGCAGTCTACCAGTGACTGTAAGGATAACTTATATAAAGAAAGTTTACCAGTGACTATAAGGATCACTTATATAAAGAAAGAGACCATACAATACCACCTCCAGCAACTGAACAGGTTCATTATACTGTTGTATTTCTCTGATTTGACGCAAGCAGGTCTCCAGGGCTGCAAGCATTTCTCGACAGGACTCCAACTGCTGCTCATGTGCTTCCAGGGCTTGCTGAGTCTTCTCATCAATGAAGTTTTTTGCCAAATTCTCCTCTTCCCGAACTAGTAAGTGGAGCTCAGTCACTTTGTCTGACAGGAGCCTTTTGCTCATAACGGCATGGGCCTACAGATGAAGCAGAAGAGTGTCTGCCTCATACTCAAGACACCATAAACATTTCAGGCATTTCTCTCCCCAGGCTTTCAATGTTACATTTTGGTTGAATTTTACTGATTTGCTGCATCTCTTGAGAAATGGGTGTTTACCCCTTAAGGCAGTGCAACCAGGATTTACTTGCTGATGTCCTGGATGAAAAACCTTGAGGGCAGATTGCAAGATGTTTGTTTGTGCAGAATATGCTGTTTTCAACTGGAATGTAACACGGCCAGGTACTAACTGCTACATGCAGCAGACCTGGTCCTTTGGCAGAAACACTTTGCCCCCTCTCAAAACAAGCTAGGGACAGGGAGCTGTTAGGAAAAGAAAGCCTCCAAAACGAAGTGACATCAAACTGCAATGTTCCACACCCCGACAGAGCTCTCTCTAGCTCTTACTGACATTTCTGTAATAGAGATGCTCCTTAGAGCAAACGTCATTTCATGCTGTATAAATGAGGTGGAGATTAGCACACATTCCCATTCTTAAGACAGAGTAAATAGAGCTGTTCTTGCATTTACTTAACTCTGAAGTCAGACTATTCAATAATGCAGTTCAGTGCAATGCAACATACACCAGTGAAGCCAGAATAATATATGTGGCTGGGGCTATTTACTATTGATCTGCACAAAAATTTCAACATTGTTCTTCCAGAAATGTTTT